GAATTGGAGGTTGCTGTGAGGGCAACTCTACCAAGGGCAGTAAAGTGAGACTCTGTCTCTAAAACAAACAAATAAACAAACAAACAACCCAAAGAATAATACTTTGAATTCTAACAACTCTTTATTTTCTTATAATATAAAACAGGTCCCTTTCTTTATTTTCTCATTTTTCTTTTCTCTTTATTTTAGAGTTTCATTCCTCTATTACACTGACATTTTTGGAAAAGTCTATGCTAATTGTTCTTACCACGTGGTGGTTTTTATTTGAAAAGGAGACATAAGAAGTGTTGTATAATTTTCTTCAACAACATTCAGATGATCAAGGGCACATATGGAAGAAGCTTTCCAGATAGTTAGGTTTAGGTCGGACTGTGTGTGATTAGAAGAAAGGGAGAAAGCCCTTCAGGGTAGTTACACGAGAGTTCTCATGATAAACCATCAAATTTCTGCTGGTAAGGAGGAAAGTGAGAACAGTAGGGAAGTGTTGAAAGGGGGCGGTTCCCTGCAGGCCTCTATAAAGTCTCAAGATGAAAGAGTTAGGTCAGGGACACGGGAAATGCAGCCAGCCAGGGAATATGTCTGTGCTTTTTCACTAAATGTGTCTGTCTGAAAGCCCAATTTTTACAGATGGGGTAAAATATTGGAGATAGAAAACTATTGTATGAGTACCATCGCTAGGAGAATAGCACAGCATATCTGTATATGTGTGTGTTGCAATATATACGTAATCTATAAATGTGTGTGTGTATGCGCTGTGTGGCTTTGTAAGGTCCTTCACCATGGACTTTAGGTCACACCTTTTAAGAGGAGCATCTGTAATTCTCATGCTTTATTATACTGCCATTAGCGATACACTATTGAAAGGCAACTGTCACACAGAGCCCTGAGTGACTAAGGTGGTTATGAGTCCCATCCGTGATGGAAATGAGGAGAGAACCAGGATACTCAGTCACATACCATCAGTGTCTCAGCCAAACTGCACGTTCCTCTAGCCAGACAATGTATGTCATGACCTAAATCACCCGCACATCAGACAGGTTGTGGTTTAATGCACATTCCTATTTCCATTATTCTACTGTGTGGCTTTTACTTGCACCCCTCAAAGCTCAACTTTGACAGACATAGCTGTCTAGGAAAGATAAATTCATAGGGTATGCCCCTCAAAAAAAATATTTAGGGTAGGGTATATAGCAATTGAAAGCCAATTATTTCTACCTAATTTTTGTGATGCCAGGCACAAAGTTGAAGCATCAGTGAATGTGATCAATACTGGCATCCACTCCTGTACTCAAAAAAAAAAAAAAAACTGTATAAATGTTGCATCAGGAGTGCAGATTCCACATGCCTTTGTTTCTCGATATTTTCACCACTGCCATAATAAGGCCAACAATCCCTGAATGTCCTCAGGGTTTGGGCACCATCTGAAATGAAGTAGTCTACCAAAGGAAAATGTGAATATCATCACCCTTTAAAAGGGTTCTCAATGAAAGAGGAACACAATGACAGGGAAAATAGATAATGAAAATTATTTTTCATTCTTTTTTAATTAAGAATTTCCTGTGCTCTTTTTTTTTTTCTCTTATGAGTAAGTGTAACAGAACCACTTCAGTAGTGGTGGATGCTATTTAAATCAACTTCTTTAATTACTGAATTGGCTTCAGAAAATGATCCCAGCAAAACATCATTTCCATCTCACTGTAGATTCATCTTAATCTGGACCAGAAGCACATTCTGAAGTCCTCACATTAACTTTCAATTTTGTAACACTTTCATCTTGAAGCAGCAGGCTGGCCTGAATTGGAAGTGGCCTGTTGGAAGAAGAAAGCAACATTCAGTCATAGAGACCCTGATCAAAATATAGGTTTCAAGCGCCCTCTTGTGGCTTGTCAACAGGAAAACCAAATATAATTTGATATCTAGAAAAAACCTACTCTAGCCAAAATCTTTATCTACTGCCACATTTATTTATAACAATTTATAAGCAATTTACTCTGTTAGGCACTGAGCATTAAAATGAGATATAGTCCAAGTGACAAAAAAGTTTATAGTAGGATAAGGGTGAAAAGGACCACAGGTAATTTTAACTCTCCCTACTAAATGCTATTACAGTGGCTCGGCGCCTATAGCTCAACCGGCTAAGGCGCCAGCCACGTACACCTAAGGTGGCGGGTTCGAATCCCCAGCCCAGACCCGCCAAACAACAATGACGGCTGCAACCAAAAAAAATAGCCGGGCGTTGTGGCGGGCGCCTGTGGTCCCAGCTAGTTGGGAGGCTGAGGCAGGAGACTCGCTTGAGCCCAGGAGTTGGAGGTTGCTGTGAGCTGTAATGCCACGGCACTCTACCCAGGGGGACAGCTTGAGGCTCTGTCTAAAAAAAAAAATAAATAAATAAATGCTATTACAGTGATGTTCATTCTATTTCAATCAGATTTAATGGTCTTTATTTTGTAGGAATCCTCATGGTAACTAATATTAGCTAGAAATTCCTACAACATAAATGGAGCTCATCTTCCATGCATGTAATATGTACTGTATCTATTTAATACTATAAAACGCAAATAAGTACATAGTTTTAGAATTCTTTCTAGGACAACACGAATCCTATTGTTCTGATTTTTTCTATTAATAATATTTACAGTTTTATTTATTATTTTAATTCCTACCAGGCCAGTATTGAAATCTATTATGCAGGTAAACGCACTGAGGCAGAACAGTCTTACCTGGTAATTTAGCGTCATAGGTGAGACTAGAATTGTGTAACTGCACCTGTTAGTCTTTCATAGTGGCTTCATCCAATGCTTTTCATATGGTTTCTAATGGTAGATATGAGGGTTTCATGAAGTCATCCACTAACATGAGGTAGCCATTCAGGGACACATGCGTGCACGCACGCACGCACGCACACACACGCGCGCGCACACACACACACACGCACAAACACACACACACACGCACAGAGGCTGGATTGTTTCCAACATCTGCTACTGAGCAGCTGTCACAGTTCTCCTGAGTTGGATGGAGCTTTTTATCAAGTTATGAAAAGTCCCATATCCAATTACCAATTCCCAGTATCATCTAGTCCCTGACTTGGCACTGATCTACCAAATGATACACTTGTAATGCCAAAGCAAAGTGATTATATAAATAATTTAGTTGGATCTTCTTTAATCCTATCCAGAAGAGCTCACAGTAATCCTAATTAGTATTTTACTCACCCAGTGCAGTCCTGTAACAGTAATCCTATTGAATTTCCAACACTGAGCATAAAAAGGTGCAAGATTTTTGAAGAATATATTCCTAGTTTACATAAATCAATGATGTGAGTCAAGATGTTCACAAAATTGGTTTATTTGGAAGATGTCAATGTTTCTGGATACATTTATGAAATGTCAAAGAAACCTAACGGTGGTGGGGGGGGTGTTTCTTCAAATTATCATTTTAAAGCTATGCTCTTTAGAACTTTAAATTGCTGCAATGCGTTTTCGGCTGTTTGTAAAATTCCATTTCAAAATAATTTCATAATTTGCTTTCCTCCTTTTTTTTTTGACCTATGAAACAAAATAGTATCTCTGAGCAAATTTGCTTTTTCCATATACAGTACTATGAAGTAAGAACTGTTATTGCTGATGTTTCCTACGTACCGCTTGAGATTGTCTAGTTTTTGATAACGGGGAGCAGCGTGAGCGTCCTGTCATTACATTAGAACATTGTTTTGAGATGAAACAAAACAAAAAACATTTTTGGTAGATTTTGTGACTGTGTGTGTGCTTTTCTCAGGCTCAAAACTTTACATAATTAAGCCCAGTTGATCCAAAGACTACATTTAAAATTTAAATTCATCAAAAAGATTAAACTGTTACCTCTAGAACACTGAGCCAAAAATTAGTAATCTTTTTCTAAATTATACCCGTTATTGCCTTTTCTCATACTCCCAGAATGTCCAGTCCCTACTTTGTTTCTTCACTCATTCACCCACAAATAAACATCATCCAAAGTCAAAGGGGTCATGTTTCCTCCCCTCTAGGGTGTGCATGCCAACGTTCAGAAACCACTCTGTTGAAATTATGCCCAGCTGGTTCTTATAGAAAAATGATACTGGGGGATTTAAGTCAGAGGAATGTCAGAATGTTTTACAACACAAACTGAATTTTGAAGGACAAGTAGGAATGAGAGAAGTAGGAAGGAAGGGATTTCTAAGTTGATTTTCCAAGGTTTTTAGGAAAGGGACAACTTGATACACTTAGGGACTAACTAAAGAACTGGGTAAAGTGGCTCAGTGCCCATAACCATGGATCAGTGGTTAGGGTGCCAGCCTCGTACACCAGGGCTGGTGGGTTTGAACCCAGCCAGGCCTGGGAAACAACAACAACAAAGGGTATTGTGGCAGCATCTGTAGTTCCAGCTACTTGGGAGGCTGAGGCAAGAGAATCACTTAACCCCAAGAGTTTGAGGGTGCTGTGATGCTATGATGCTATAGCACTCTACCCAGGGCAACATAATGAGATGGTCGCAAAAAAAAAAAAAAAGAGGGTAAAGTCAGATCAAGAAGGGTCTAGACATTAATGCTTACATGAGTCTTATCCTGCATTGAGAATTTCAAGCAGAATAAAACACCCACACTTGAATTTTAGTAAAGTCACTTAGGAATTAGTGTGGAAGAGATATCAGATATTGAGAGGAGACATGGATCAACCAAAGCAATATTAGTTTACTGAAATAATCTAGGTTTGAACTAAGTTAAGAGGGCAGGTAGTGAACAATTTACACCCTTGTTATACTAAAAGTGTGCAATCAGCAACATGAGCACAAACTTGGAGCTTGTCAGACATAGAATCTTGTGCAATATCCCTTATCTGAAATTAGGTAAACAAAGATAAGGAATACAGCAGGGGCAATTACTCGGGCAGATCACTATTTTAGGTATGGTCACTTTGAAGTGTTTGGGAGACATCCAAGGAAGCTGATCCACAGTAGTTGGAATATGAGTCTGGAGACTGGGATGAAGACGCAGTTTAGCATTTATCAACTTGTTGGCATCTGAACCCATGGTCTGACCCACGTTTGCCCAGGAAAAGAATATCCAGGCAGGCAGAGGGCCCAGGAGGGAGCCTTAAGAAACATCATTATTTAAAAGTCCCATACAGCAAAAGGTACTCCACAAGAAACAGAAGGAACTTCCAGTGGTAGGAAGAAACAATGTGAGGTGCGGGAAGAGAGTCCAAGTGGCAGGATGGTCAATATTCTTGTTTTCCAGCAGAGGTCACACAGGAAGAGGCAAGAGTCCGTTGGATTTGGCAATCTTGATGGCAGAGTAAAGCTAACAGGTGGAGATTATTTCCCATTAAGTTCTTTCTTGACCTTAGTATGTGGGGATGCAATTTAAAGATGCTGCATCGTTCAAAGTTCAGATGAGTAGAATATGTGGAAGAAACTTGGTATGGAGCCAACTTGCAAATATTCTCTCTTCCATTAGACGGTAAATTCTTTGAAGCATAAGGAAGGCACGTATAAGATGAGTAAGACCCAGTCTTAACCCTAAGAGTTTATAACAAGTAAGAATAAGACAACTGTAGTACAAGATGGGGCATTACAATTTATAAAATATTATGGGGATTCAAAAAAGGAATACACCATATGCAGACAATTAGAAAAGACTACATCTCAGCTGTTAACACAGAATTGCACATACTAAGTACTTAAACTATATTAAATGCTTTCTCTCTTAACAAATCTGGTGAATTAGTAATAAAGACAAAGTCCCATTTATTCCAAAATCCAAGCAAACTTCAAAACTTATTCATGAGATATTTATTAAAATAACACATTTAGGGAAAAAATCAATACAATGTATATCATTACTGAAAACTGTATACCATCATACAAAAAAGGATTTTTATTCTGGGAAGCTGATGTCTAATTTATGGCAAGTTTTACTTTCAGAAATAAAATCACAGAATAACACAATCTAATTCAATCTTAAAGGCTGGCATGCTGAGCAAGGAATGTTCTTATTCTTTGTAGAAGCTCCTTCTTTACACTGTCAGGTACCAGGGCTGAAACACAAAAATACATACGAGTAAGAAGATTCTAATTCATACATGTCAATTTAAGATCTGACACTTTATTCAGGATTACCAATACGATAATCTCATAAATAACCCTCATGGTTTAATACCTAAATATACTGCATGTTGATGAGAGGAAAACATGAGAAAATTCTTTCAGCTAGAAGCAGAGGTCATTTTTAAACAAAGAAGCTAGAGGCTATACCAAATAGATACCTTTGTTTTAAATACATCTATGCTTGATCAAAATCACCATTAACATAGCCAAAAGACAAATTGGGGAAATGCTGTTACATAAAAGGGCTGATCTCTCTACTACACAACTGCTTCAAATCAATAAGAAAAAGACCAGCAGATTAATAGGAAAATGAGCAACGGAGATGAAGAAAAGGAAAAATATGTAGTTCTTCAATATAAAAGGGGTTCAGTCTCAGAAGAGAAATGCAAATTAAAATAATGTTCAGATGAAATGTTTGACCAATAAGGCTAATCCAAAAGTCAACAATATACTGTGTTGGTAAGAATGAGGATATTAGGTGGGAGTATAAACTGGTTATGTTTTAAAAGGTAATGTGGCATTATTTTATTGCAATAATGAATGTACATACTTTCTGATCCAGCCAAAATACAAAAAAACGCTACAGTAGTTCTGTTACATTTTTACTTTTGACCCATGTAACCTATTACCTATTCAGATTAAACCACGAATGTGAAAAAACTAAAACTTCTAATGTATTTGCTGTGTCCAAGGGAAATGGAAAACTTCAGTACAGTTCAATTTTCCTACAAAAAATTATACAAATAAGTATTCATATCAAAGAGAATACTTCTCTTTATAAATCGTTTAGTTTAAGCCTACCTACAAGATACAGAATTCAAATCCACTTAAAATGTAATCAATAGTTATACCGTTAACCAAAATAATGATGATTGAGTCAAAATCATCATCATCAAAATAATGATGATCAGTTACAGGTGTAACTATAAAGGGATAGCCTGAGGGAGATTTGGGGGAGTGAGGGAATTGCTTATTCTGTATCTTGACTATAGTGGTAGTTATATATATTTACACATGTATACGAAGTTCACGTAACTGCACATTAAAAAACGTCAGTTTTACTGTGTTATTTAAAATGGTCTACTCTTAACAACAGTAAGAAGACAAAGGCACAAAAGATTTATTTTTATTTCTTTTCACTATTTGATCATTCACTAGCAAGGGAACTACAAGAAACTGAAACACCCAAGGTACAAGGTGTTAAAGGAAGCAAAGGATAATTCCTAACCTTACGACCGGTTCCTAAATAATGTTAACAAGCTAAGAATCACAGAAGAAAACAGAAAAATTAGTGGAAATTTAAATATAAATTTGTACGATGACCAAATAATGTTTTTTTCTTATCCCTGAAACATACTTTTTTTAAAAAGGTATGTTTTCCAGCTATAAATACGCCTGAGGTATGGTTAACAAGGACCATGGGATTCTACAGCTTCTTCCCAGCAGTTAGCAGCTCAGAAAATTAGAGTGTTCTATACTAGTAATTTTCAAACATACTTTTTACACTTCCAATCTTTTTACTATCTCTGAGTGAGAAAACACTGTATGTATGGGCTGTCTAATTGCCCTTCCACTTACAACTACGAAAAAACTCCAACTTGACCAAATTAAAACGTGGCTACATCTGAGGTAAAACTGATGTAGTTCCTGACTTCATATTTATTACACATCATCAGTTTTAATATAATATTCCTCATACTTTCTTTGCCTCTGTAAACAAGCACTAAAAGAAAAAACTAAGAAGGTGTTTGCATTGTGAGTCTTACTATGGATTACCCTCAACACGAAGTGATGGAGCTACGAAATTCTTAAGTAGACATTCAAGAAGACAAATCTTCATTTATTTTTAATAAGGAAAGAGATAGCTGAGCAATGACTCAGTGGCTGGAGGAAACTTTGAATTATTAAATATTTAAATGGACTCAGGCCATATCTGACAAAGTTTATAAATCCTAGCTTGGGGTAATATTTGTTTCTATTAAATACCATGCTTTAAAAATTATCTGCCTGACAAACCATATCAGCTTGTATTATTAGTATACTGGTTTAGAGTATAAAAACATTTATCCGCTATTATTTAATTTGTTACTCAAGACTATGCTAATTCTTCCCACATAAGACAACACAAGTAACTAAATGACTTTGGAAAGGGTGCTTTTCTTTATAAATAAAGAAGGAAAATCTGAATCAGGGAGAGAAAATCTCATCTTCAGCAGATGTTTCTTTTGATGTATTCCTTACCTCTGCCTTTTGGAGTGATTTCAGCCACCAAGTCATCAACAGTAACGTGTTCTAGTCCTTTTTCTTTAATTACCTCTTATGCAAAAGCAAAAAACAAATCATATCATTTAAAATCATTATCTGTAAGAAAGATTTTCATAGAGGAAGGATTAAGATCATGTTTTTAGAGTATAGACTGGTCTTAAAAAAAAAAAGAGGACACTTTGAAAATTCAGTTCAACCTTAGAAACACATTAAGTACAACAGCCTCCATAATAGCTGACCACCTCCCCACACTGACCATCGCCTTAGGCTGACCTAAATTTCACAGACCAGACATGCACCACATGTACTTATCAGTACACGAGGCCTAGTTCCTTATGTTGACTACCTCTGTCCATTGAGCAGTTTGTTACAATCCCTTGGATGGTCAACTTACAGAGGTTCTACTGTATTCTCTAGATTTAAATGATAAAAGTCCATTCATTAAAGTATCAGCTAAATAGCCTTAATTTAATTGTATCACCCAGAATGAATTTTAATTGTGGTCAAGTTTAATATTTTTAAAAGTCCTGAAACTTATAACTATTATAATTAATATTTACCATATCCTTATTAGGTGCTTGCCAGTATTTACTATTCACAATAATCTAATCGGCTCACATTCCCCCCCACCTTAGTAGGTAAGATAAATAAGGCTTAAAGATTAACTCATCCAAACATGAGTTGAATCCCAGATCTAGTCTTTCACCAGAGAAAATCTGTATGACCTTAAAGGCAATGCTTTGGCTACTTTGCCTTCCTACAGTTAATATATAAAATGTAATGGAGATTCATTAAAAACATCCAGAATTCCATTATACCAAAAGCTGAGTCAGAAAACAGGCTCATCTTAGTGACACGTGTAATCTATTAAGTGGTATCATCATCAACACCCAGCAATTTAACAAGTTTCACGTCTACATTTTTTTTAAGTAAGTGTAATTCGCTAAGCACTTTTATATAATAAATTTTCAAAAGAACCTTGTTATTTTGAAAGGAGAGCTATAACTTTTCTAAGCGCTCACTTTGTTATCTAAAACATTAGGAAGAATAACGTTGTGGAAAAACATGGGATTCCACATTTTGATATAAGAGAAAATCTTGAGCGCTCATGCCTCTCTTGTCATAAAAGAAACACAAAGAAAATTCCTAAATACAAAGAAAATTCCTAAAAATGTAAGAATTAGGTCTTGCAGGGAAATATTACTCAAGATTAAATTTCCTATTTGTTTAAAAATTATGCCTGAGTACTCAATATACCTTAAAATACTGACTATACATTTTTTAGCAATTCCCAAATCAATTCAGTCCAGAGCAATGGGATTAGCTTATCTTCTAAATGAGATTGATTACCTTTACAGTGTGCCTTCAATTGATCCTTCCAGCCACATTCAATTAATTTAGCTCTCAGCAACTCTTTGAGGCTGTTGAAAAATAAATGTTTTCAAATTAAACAACGTATAACATCTCAGGGAGAAATGTTTGAAGTAAAGGTTCAACTGTGCAACTAAAATTACCCTGCTCTCTAGTTGCACAATTTTAATTTAACTGTGCCCCTAATCTTGGTTCTATTACTATATATTCTTTGATTTTATGCAAGCCATTTTAAATTCTGGGACTTTCATTTCATCATTTTCTGAGCAAAATTAAAGCGTAGAGGCTAAAACATTTTTCAAGAAATTACTCTGGCCTTCTAACATACCCTCCAACACCAGGAAAATATCATGGCTATTGTACAACTTCTAGACTATTAATTGAACTTGAAACAAGCATACAACTGAAATCTTCAAATTCCAAAATTCATTCTTTGACCACAACTTCTTCCCTTTAATTCTCTTATTTTCCCCATATCCCACTCCCTAACCTCACAGACTGCCCCTTCTAAATTACATACTGACTACAGTATTTCACTCTCTTTAAGACTGTGGTTTCCTCCCTATTTTAACAATTTGGTAACTGGTATCCCTGTTACAATTGGCAGCATTTTCTTTTCTAATAATAGTAAAAAAGTAATGGTATTATAACTAATAACCTCACAGATGCAAGAGAACATTTTCTTACCTTTTTATCATACCCACTCTTACAAATTTTCAGGTAACCTACATCATTTAACTTCTCAGCCTAAACATGTCATACTCCAAACCAAAAGGATACCCTTTTTCTCCAAACCATTTCTTCCTTGATATTCCTAGATAGACACCTGACAGTTCCATCTTGGTATTTAAGTAGGTCTTTCAATACTAACAGGGCCAAAAGCCAACTTTTTATTCTGTACCACTTCATTCTGTTCTTCTCAGAACGGCAACTCCATTCTTCTGGTTCTCAGGCTAGGAAACTTGGCAATACCCTTCAGCTACCTTGTTAACACCACAAAATCAATCCTACTAGTTTCAGTTTTAAAACAGAACTAAAATTCAAATGTTTCCCACGATCTCTGCTATGACTACCCCAGTTCAAGCCTCCATCTTCTCTTGAATATTATCACAGGCGCCTAGGTTGTCTTCTTGCTCCTTCCCTTGTACACTTCATTCTCTTCCCACTGCTCAAAACCTTTCAGTGCCTTCCTAATTAACTCAGAATAAAATTCTAAGGTTTTAGAGCCTGAGTGATCCTCCATGATCTGCCTTCCCCCAGCAATGCCCTCGCCCAGTTTACTCAGTCTTGTTCGCTTCCATGTGTTCCTTAACAACGCCGTGCAATCTCCTGTCTCAGGATCTGTGTTTCCTTGCACTCCCTCACATCCTGCTCATCTCTTATCATTGCAGCCTCCTTTGTTTTTTCAAAGACAGAGTCTCATTTAGTTGTCCTTGGTAGAGTGCCAGGGCATCATAGCTCACAGCAACCTCAGACTCTTGGGCTCAAGTGATTCTCTTGCCTCAGCTTCCCGAGTAGCTGGGACTACAAGCGTCTGCCCCAGCGCCTGGCTATTTTTAGAGAGGCTGTCTCACTCTGGCTCAGGCTGGTCTCAAAACCATTAGCTCAGGGAATCCACCCACCTCGGCCTCCCCGAGTGCCAGGATTATAGGTGTGAGCCACTGCACCTGGCCCGTCCTTTGTTTTTTCTATCCAAAATATCACACCTTATTCTTCTGCTTTATTGTTCTTCTCATCACCATCTAACATACTACCTATTCCTTTTATGTATCCTCCCATTGTAATGTAAGCTCCATGAAAGCACAGACTTCATTGTTATCTACACCTATATCTCCAGCACCTTAATAGGGCATAGCATATGAAAGAGACTCAGTAACTTCCAGCTGCACCAACAAAAAACAAACAAAAACCAATACATTGAATGAATACTATACTGCCAGTACTATCTTCTTAAGTGACCTGAGGAACTGGTCTACATGCTTCCTTTCTCATAATTAGGACAACTGTTCCTACTTTTAAAAACGTAGAAAAATTCTAAGCTTGCCTTTCCATTTTTAACCCTTCTTTATTTTTCTGCCACCTATCTAGACACCTTCAAATCTATCCTCCATACTGACAGAGTAAGATTCCCAAAGTGTAAATGTGATCTAGTCATTCCCTTTCTTAAAAATTTTTAATGATTCCCACAAGCTAAAAATAAAATCAGTAACAGATCTTTTTTGCAAACCCTACCACCCATTTTCGTGCCTGTTGGTTTTAACAGACAAAAATTAGTCATTCTCAGGGTATGGGTAAAGTTCTAGAAATGGAAACATGACCTAGCCATGGCTGATCACAATCTCTGCTAGGTAGAGCCTCCTTGAGGATAAAGCCAATATAGAGGAAAGCAGACTTGATAAGATAAAGGAATTTTTCTTGGCAACAATTTTAGAGTGCCTGGCCTCAGTGGTGCCTGAAGAAATTTCGAGCCCTAGACTTTTTAGATAGATGAGGTTATACATTTTCACTCGTTAAGCCAGTTTCTGACTTCAGTTTTTTTTTTTTAAGAGTCTCACTTTGTCCCCCTCGGTGGAGTGTTGTGAAGTCACAGCTCACAGCAACCTCAAACTTTTGGGCTCAAGTAATTCTCTTGCCTCAGTCTCCCAAGTAGTTGGGATTACAAGCGCCTGCCACAACACCCAGCTATTTTTAGAGACAGGGTCTCACTCTGGCTCAGGCTGGTCTCAAACTCTTGAGCTCAAGCAATCCACCCACCTCACCTTCCAGAGTGCTGGGATTACAGGCATGAGCCACCACACCCGCCCGGCCCCAGCTGTCATTTTCAACTGAAAGAATTCTGACTCATACACAAACCACACACTTCCTGTGCACTATTCCAGCCACATGGCTTTCATACTTTACCCCCTAGGTTTCTTTTATTATATTGCATTTCCCAGGATTATGTCGTAGTAAAGCCCTGTGACTTTGCGTATTCTGTTTTATCTGTCCAGAAAGTTCTCTAGTTTATCGGCTCAGAGAACTGCTACCCTTCTGCCTAGGTGAAACGCTTCTTTTATTATTTTGTGGGATCTTAAATGGTCACATTAAACCCCAGGGAGAGTTAGACGTCTCCTGTTATTTCTCTTACACATTTTTTCACCCTGCTTCTGGGAACCTTCCTGATTCCCTTCTGTACGTCTAAACCCGTTCAATCTTCAAATAAGTACTTGGCCGATTATGTGCCAGGCATGTTGATAGATGCTGAATATACAATGGGGTTTCTGCTGTTAAGGAACTTAGACTATATTGGAGGACACAAACTAGCAAAGCAGATGGTTAGAATGTGATTCAATGGCATTATTAAACAAGGTTATTTGGGACACAAAAACATTCCTTGAAGAGGTAATATCTAAATTAAAACTTGAAAAATGAGCGAAAACTGATGAGAAGGTAGAAGGGTATTTCAGAGAGTAAGCACATGCTATTCCGTGGTAACTAAAAGTCATTCTATCAAGGTGTCTCCCTGTTAAAACCAGTAACATTATGTCTTCAATTGTAATTACCTGGGTATGTACTTTTTCTTCTCCATTACAGTACACATTCTTTGAGAGTTATCTCAAACTCAACATTCTACATTATCAATTCCTTTCAAATTCTGCAACATGGAACAGACCTAAATTATTTTTTATAGCTGTTAGGAACAAAACCTTTTCTTATTTATTTAGATTCTTGTATCTTTTAAAGACAGTGAAATGTAATTTTCCCCGCACAATCTAGTACTTACCGTTCTCTTTCTCCAGTTTCTATCAACTTTTGGTTAATTGCTGCTCTCATCTGCGCATCTTTGTTCATCTTGCTAACCTGGACATCAATACGCAATTTTCAGATATAAAACGTTTACAAAGCATTTTCTTCTAAGTCCTCTAGGCAAGCAAACTGTTTAGCTCTTATCAAGTTAAGGAATGACAAGTTGCAAGTGTGTTAACGATATCATTACTTTGTTAAACACTTATGTGCCTGATACTGGGCTAATGCTTTGGGAGTTTTCTAAAATTACATTTAATTCCCAGAACTCATTCTGTTACATATTAATAACATTAGTATTTTACTGATGAGGAAACTGAGGCACAGAAACAGAAAGTGGTGAAGGCAGAATCTGAACTCAGGTACTTTGACCCCAGAAGCTCCAGAACTATTGAACTGCACATAACTGACTGTTGATCACTTCTGTACCTTAACTACATCCATAAATTTGAGAAAGTCACATAAACTAAATATCAGAAAAAGATTAAAGACTATTAGTAAAAAAATGAAATTACCAGATAAGGTTCTAAGTGCTTACTTTACGCTTCACTAGTATGTACCCTGAATTACAACCCCTAAACTAGATGTAAGAATGTATGCGTGTGTTTAAAAACACACACACACTGCTACTGGGATAAGGGAAAAACCAATCTCAAACTAATTCCTAACTCAGAAAATTTTCAATTTTCAGTAAACACAGACAATCAAAACGAAAATAGTGTTGAAAATAGAGAAAGGTTAGGTTTTAAAGTCACTCAGACCACTTAAAAGTTTGAGTAAAATAGAACTTGGGGTAAAATGACGTTTCTCCACCCGATCTGTCACCACCTTGGGACTACTTTTGTTGTCTCCTATCTCACCCATAAGAAAATCAGACTGACAATGAGTTTTCAGAGTTGACTTTATTTTTTTGGAGAAGAATATGGAAAAGGAGGGATTGAGAGAAAAAAACTAGGAAATGCATGCTTTTGTACTTAGAGTCTAACATTTGCAAAATAACTATAAAGTCTAGTCAGTACCATCCCTGGAAGATTGAATTTGACCTCGTCTTGGCCCCTAAAATATGGACAGTGACCTTGGACAAGTCACTTAATGCTCAAAGGCCTCAGTTTTCTCACCGGTAAAACAAGGGCGCTAGGGGTTCCCTCCCAGTTCAGACATTCTTTGGGAAAATAGAACAGGGCGGAGACAGAGGGAGAGGCGGGAGGGGAGGAGCCAGAAAACAAAGCGTGGACGGGTTTCAGGCCAACTCCAGTTGCACGCCCTGTCGGAGAGCCCTACAGGCCCGCGAGTGCGGGTCGGGGAAGCTAACGAAAGACAGTACATCGAAAGGAGCCTGGGCTGGGCCCGGGTCCCGGCCCTGAGGACCACGGGCATAGCTCACCACCATCACCGCGGGCGAGGGCCGTCCCTTCCCAGCGACGAAATGACCCTTGCGCTGATGACCGTTACCTACCACACTCTTCGGCTGCCCGGACTTAGACCCTCAGTAGCTCGGGCACCTAAGCACACAGAAAGCTAGAACACGCATTTCCGGGGCGGGGGCTCGCCGCTCTGCCTATAATGTAAGAATTTAACCAGCGCGGGCCGCCTCCTGGTCGCTCAGTCCTCTGGGTAGGGGAGTCCTGACGCTGCTGTCGCGCGGGAGTTAAGTCCCCAGAAAACTACATAGCCCGGCATGCAACGGGGTCAACTTTCCCTCGAATACTACATTTCCCAGAGGGGAGCCTGCGCCGCAATGTTTCCTGGGATGGGACCACGCCGCTTCCCAGCGACAGTGCAGGGAGCGAAGCGCGGACCTTTCAACCAGAGCTTTATTAATTCTCACGCGAGGGCCCTGGAAGGCGATGGAGGTGGCGGCAAACTGCTCCCTGCGGGTGAAGAGACCTCTGCTGGATCCCCGCTTCGAGGGTTACAAGCTCTCTCTCGAGCCGCTGCCTTGTTACCAGCTGGAACTTGACGCAGGTGGGAAGCGGCGGCGCCCCCGCCTGCCCCATTCCGCTATCCGCTTTCCGCTTTCGGCTGCCGTCGACCCAAACCTTCCCGCTTGTCTTTCTTTCTGACTCTGGCAAGCAAAGCGACTGTGGCCTTCCTTACGGCGCGTCCGGCTGGGCTGGACCCCTGGTGGCCTCTCTGGACAGTGACACCCATCCCAGAACCCCGTGGGAGTCGCCTTCGCGCGGCTCTCCCTGGCGGGACTTTAGGCCCTTCCCTTGGCTTTGCAGCCCCAGGCTGTGAGATCTGGCACGCGTGGTGCTTGGGCTACGGCCACCTGTTCGTCCCCGGCCCGGCCCCTCTTGTGGAGAAAACATAGGATCCGTCTTTCTTTCTGGAGCATCGTCTGTCAATGTGTGCGTTGAGAAACCACATCTGGGAAGATTCTTAGCTTTTGCTTGCTCTGACAGAGAGCCTTTTCTTAAAAGAGAAACTACATCCCAGGCAGAGCAGCAGTTACTTAGGTCCTAGAACGCTAAGACCTCTATCTATCGTAGAGACCATGTCTAGAAAATTTTAAGGAAAAGTTGACTTAGTAGCCATACTGCCACTACTTGTTTTGTTTGCATATAGCTGGCTAGAATATTCTCATTCCTGTTTTCGTAACGTGAAGAACGGTGGGGTTTTTTTTTTGTTAAAGGGTCCAGAGATTTTCGTTTTTTAATGCACGTCATTGCTGATTCTGATATATGCTGACAGTGATCCCTTTGATAAATGCTGATCTACATTTAATTAATAGAGCATCGAACAAGTGTTTATTCATTTATTAAATTCAGAAACATCTTTCGAAAGCCTGGTTTGTGTTACATGCCGTTGGTATCAAGAAGAATCAGACAGTGCTCAATAGAAAAAGGTTGTTGTCTAGTTAGGAAAATGTAATCTTGACAAATATAAAGTAACATGGAAAGGCGATAATAATATCTATCTTGAACCTGCATTGGGGGATCTGGGAACGCTTGCTTCGAACGGTTGATGTTTAAGTTGAGCTTTAAAGGATAAGTAGGAGTTGACTAGGGTAAGAGAAGATGAACTTGATTTTTCTTTTCATTTGCTTTCTTTTCCTCTGTCTCACCATGTTTAAACAGTCTCTCCATGCCAGTAGATGGTACTACAATGTTTAGTTAGCTAATGAATTCAAAAGATGCAGTGGCTCAAAACGCAAAGCAGTTATTTTTGCTTACAAGTCTTAACTAGTTGTGCAAGTCTATTAGTTGGTCATGCTGGTCAGCTAGGTTGTTCTTTTACTACTGTCTGGGCTCATTTTGGTGCATCTTTGTTCACTTATGAGCCTGCTAGGCAGCTCTGCTTATCTGCTTGTATGTTTGGGGGTTCTCAAACTATAGGCTGGTTTAAGATTATTTCTAATGGTCTCCCCTTACTTCTTCTCCATGTGATCTCTTACCCTTCAGCAGGCTAGCCCACATTGGTTCCAAGAGACAAGTAGCAGAGTGTAAGTTTCTTCAAGCTGCTGCTTGCAGCAAGTTTGCTCAGACCTTAACGGGCCAAAGCAAGTCTGTTAAGCCTAGAGCCAGTATGCAAAGGTCATACCAAAGAGTGTTGATCCAGGGAGTCATATGTAATTGGGACTATTATTGCTCATGCTGTTGTCACCTTTGTTGTATTTCTTCTCTTTTAGCCCCTGTTAAATTTAGCAGCAAATCTAGTCATCTCCAGATTTTGACATCTTCACCCCAGTCTAAATCACATTTATCTCTTACCTGAACTGTGGTGGCCTCCTGACTTGCCTTCCTGCGATCACTTTTGTGCTTTTTCCATTGCATGCTCTATAAGACAGTATTTATCATCCTTTTAAATTCTATATTGATTTTTTTGGTCTTGTTTCCTCCAGTAGACTGTGAGCTCCACGAAAACAACGATGTTTCTCTTTTACTCACTACTCTATCCCTAGTGCTTGGCACATGGTGGATACTCAATAAATTGAGTGAATGAAGAAGAGGAGTTGTTGAAGTTACTCCTTTCATGGGAAAGTGTGAACAGAGGGAAAGGAAAGAACTGGTATTTTGCATAGTGTACTTGCAGTCTTAGGTTGCTGGAGCAAAAAATCTGGGAAAGTGAGAGGAGATCGGAAGAGCAGTTAGCACCCTGTTTGCTTTTTGGACTTTATCTTGTCAGTCAGTGTTTTCCAGACTTTTTGTTTGTATTGGGCCATTACAATAAAGAGTAAAACTCAGCTATCATAGTTCTGCCACCTTCTGAATTTGTTAAGTGGAGATGTTATTATGTACTCTCCATCTTTTTATAAACAAAAAGATGTTTTAAACCAAAAAAAGCATAAAGTAAAATTTCTCAATAAGTAGTCTTCTAAATTGGATGTATTATTATATAAAGCTACAAAGTTGTCTTTTCCTCCACTCATTTCAGCCATGTTGCTCTGAGATTCTGTGTTTGGAATGGACAACTGGGGGATATGAGGTGTCATTTGAAGGTTTTAAGTATAGCAGGGAGATGAACGGATGTTGGGGTTGAATAGCATAGTTTATTCTCAACTCTTTCTAAGATAAGAGGAATGGAGACAACACAGTTTGGAGACCTGAGGGGCTTTCTATAAGAATTACTCAGTGGTGAAGATGAGATTATTTCTTTTAAAAATCATTAATTTTGGAGGGCTTGAGGTATAGTTGAGGAGCTTCTGACTATTTGATTTCTTTCATCCTAGCCTAAGAAGTTCACTTTAATGTAGTAAATCATTGGTGAACACTTGCGGTGTATGAAACGCTGCATTTGGCATGTGAGGATGAAGATGTCCCTGGTGCCAGAGCTTGCTACACTAAGGCTATTCTCTTGTCTTCCCTGATGTTATTAATTTTTTCAATTCTCTCTACTATATAAATAGTAAATATCTTTTACTATTCCAAAGAACTAAGTGAAAACCTTTTTATAAAACATATTTGCCTTTTGATCCAGCAATTCCATTTCTGAGTATTTATCTTGTAAATATCCTTTCCCTAAAATCTTCATTTTGTACATGTCTTTTTATATGCTTTCCCACTGTATTTCACCTGGCTAATTCATACTTTACTTTTTCATTTGGTTTACATGTTACTTCCTCGAGGATTCCCTTCTTGACTAATTACTTAGAATCTATACTGTAGAATCCGTACAGGTTGGAGTCTGTACTCTTCTTTCCCATAGTAGCCAGTACTTCATAGATTTTATCACACTTGGTGGCTTTCAGTGTTTTCTCTGCTAAGACTGTTAGTTCAGTATTGATGGGTCCTGATGGCATCTTTTTCAATGCTTTATCTTTAGGGCGGGAACATGCCTGGTAAGTGGTAGATGGTTTTGTATCACAAACACATTGATCAGCTTTTTTGAGATATAATAAATAAACTGTGCAAATTAAAAATGAACAGATTAACAAGTTTTCACATATATATATATCCATGAAATCATCACCACAATCAAGATATTAAATCAGCTGTCACCCCCCAAGTTGCCTTGTGCCCTTCTGTCACTATGGCTTTGCTCCTCTTGCATGTCTCCAAGCAACTGCCGACCTCCTTTCTGTCACTGTACAGTGGTGTGCCTTTTCTACAGTGTTATGTAGGCAGAATCTTACACTACGGACTTTTTTAGTCTGGCCACTTTTTTTTTTTTTTAACCACAGTTATTTTGAGATCTTCTTGTAGGGGGCGAGGGGTATTGAAATCTATGATTATAACTGTCGATTTTTCTATTTCACCTGGCAGTTTTATCGGTTTTGCTTTATGTATTTTGAAGGTCTGTAGCTAGCTGCACATACATTATTATTTATTATGTCCTGATAAATTGACCCCTTTATCATAATGAAATAACTTTTTTTTTTTTTATCCCTGGTAGTAGTCTTTGCTCTGAAATCTTATATTAAAATAATCACTCTGTTTTCAAGTTAGTGTTACCATACTTTTTCACTCCATCATTTTACTTTTAACTTATTTATTTCTTTGTATTTAACTTACATTTGTTATTGGCAGAAATATGGGTAGTTAACTTTTGCTTTTTTATTCAGTCTACTGATCTCTATTAATTAGACTGTGTACACTTAACAGAATTATTGATTGGGTTAGGTTGGGGTCTTTCATGTTGCTATTTGTATTCTGTTTCTGGTCTTTGGGAGAATGGAAGTTTTCCACTAGCTTCTTTTGGATTGAGGTTTTTCCTTTTTTCTTTTTTTTAATCATTTTAATTTTTTTGTTGGCCTACTAGTTATATTATCTTATTATTTTAGTATCTATTATCTTATTATTTTAGTATCCACTTCAGGTTTATAGTATACATCTTTAGCTTACTATATTATAGGATACATTCAAATGATATTATTTCATGTGAGGTATAAGAAACTTATGCTTGTATATTTTAATTTCTCTCCTTGCCTTTATGGAATTGTAATACATTTTACTTTTTCATATTATACGACAAAACGTTGTTAGTTTTGTAAATAGTTAAATATCTCTTAGAGAGATTTAAATGATAAGAAAAACTTACATATTTACGCATATAGTTGCTATTTCTAGCCCTTGTTGTTCCTCTATTTGGATCTGTATTTTTATCTGGTATAATTTTCCTTCTTCCTGAAAAACTTTTAAAATTTCATGTAGTGTGTGTCTGCTGGTCATGAACTCTTTCAGCTTTGATGGGCTGGAAGCATCATTATTGTGCCTTGGTTTTCAAAAGATACTTTAATTTTTTTGGGTGGCGCCTGTGGTTCAGTGGGTAAGGCTTGGGCCCCATATACTGAGGGTGGCAGGTTCAAACCCAGCCCAGGCCAAACTGCAACAAAAAAATAGTGGGGTGTTGTGGCAGGCACCTGTACTTCCAGCTACTTGGGAGGCTGAGGCAAGAGAATCGCGTAAGCCCAGGAGTTGGAGGTTGCTGTGAGCTGTGTGACACCGCAGCACTCTACTGAGGGCGACAAAGTAAGACTCCGTCTCTACAAAAAAAAAAAAAGAAAGATTTTTTAAATTTTTTCT